GGGGGGGGGGCAGGTATCGGTGTGTGTTTGTGTAACCAGTGTTGGTTTTTTGAAGACATCAGCAGCAACGGATTGCGTAAAACTTCAAAGAATTCACCATCGGATATACAGCCGTTGCAAGAGAGCGCGTTCTGTGTCAAAATGTCATGGCATTTCCACGTGTGCGGCATTTCAAGAATTTACACGCTCCAAGTAGGCCTGCAGTCAAACAAAAAGCCAAAGAGGAAGCGGCGTGGGGCCTCGACCCCTTTAGTTCCCCACTGCGTGTCAGAGAGCGAGATGGGAGGGGACACAGGTGCAGCACCAGCAGACAGACGCGCTGCACCACAAAGCCTGAGCAAAGTCTCAGAGGAGGAAATTCAGTTGTCTGGACTCGTCAGGGGAATATCTGTTGTGACTGAAGCCTTATCTCTGTACGGTCTGTGGAAAGCAGATGTTTGAATTAGAAATTTGCTCTTTTTTTTGGTCCTCTGATTCTGTGTCTTTGTTTAAATGTGGCTTCCGAAACCAAAATCCAAAGTGACTCTTCTTATTAAGCTCTTCCATTGTGTTTTAGATGGTTAGAAACCGCAGTTTTATTTCCAAGGTCCATAATACAATTGTTAAAATGAAGTCGACCCCCATAATCCTTCCACACAGCCGACCCGGCCCCGTTGGTCTTCTCTCTTCTTCTCGTCTCATATCCAGGCTCTCTGTCTTCTCTGTGTCTCAGACCGTGGTGTTGTTTCATTGACGCCGCGTAACCATGACGACCCATGTGACCTTGGAGGATGCTCTGTCCAACGTGGACCTGCTGGAGGAGCTGCCGCTGCCGGACCAGCAGCCGTGCATCGAGCCCCCTCCTTCCTCCATCATGTACCAGGTACACGGTCAGACACACCAGCACAACCACACCCACCCCCCGCCTCTTTTTTAATCTTCCCCTTTTTTTGTTCCTTTTCTGCAGGCCAACTTTGACACCAATTTTGAAGACCGGAATGCATTTGTGACCGGTATTGCCCGCTACATAGAGCAAGCCACAGTCCACTCAAGCATGGTGAGGCCCGTGTTCTGCTTCAGGAAGAATAGGAAAAAAACGTATACAAGGCTTGCTATCATTCTGTTTTTTTTTTGTTTTGTTTTTTACACATAAACACCTGGATGACTTATTTTCTCCTGGAAAGGTTGTGGTTTCAATGTATTTTAAGCCGACGGTGGGATGCCATTTTAAGAAAGCTTTGTTGTGTGTGAACTGGTCACCTCTCGGCTCTTTTGTTAGGGTTTGGCTGCGCCTTTGGCAGGACCTTCAAACACACGCATGCTCGTGTCGACACATTCCGCTCACACACCGTTGAGTCACACATGCAGAAAAGTGCTGAGGTTCTTTACAATGGGGGTGAACGGAGGGAGAATGTGAGTCGACTAGCAAAGAGGGGGAAGTTGAGCTTTATTTAACCGTGGTTTATTAGGAAGTCTCATTGAGGCTGAAGCCAGCTGGTTTGGGAGCACTCACTTTTGTTTGGGAGAAGAAGTAATGCAGTCCCACTAAAATATTCATGAGGTCTAAGAACAAGTGGCTCATCTCAGATGTTTGACATTCTCTTTGTAGCATAATTCTTTTTTGTGTATATTTAACCCCCAGCAGCTAATAATTACCTTAAACAACATGTTTTTACTTTTTCTAGTCAACAATTCAACATTTTTTTTTACATGGAAATCAACTCGGACAGGTTTGAAGTGGTCTGGATGAAATTTGACATCTTTTCCTCATTGGGTGAACGGCTCCCCCCACAACATCCTTGTTATATGGTCATAAAATCAGAATGTAGAGGAAGGTGGAGGAAACGACTAGCTTTAAGCTAGCACCCATCTGCATGTGCAGGTGCTAGCGCTCGATAACTTAATAACTGATTCCTTGATCCAGTCTGGAACCTGCTGTCAGCAGCTTGGCCCTACTCACTTCTCTGTGCCCAGTCTTGGCATACATATTTCCCATCTACCATCCAGGCGCCATCACGGTGGCTAGTGGCTAGTGGCTAGCACCTGCTCATTCATGCTGGCTGCTAGCTAACGCTAGTCCCCGGAACATTCCATTCCTGTGGCCTCCGCCTGCGTGTCGTTTCATCACTAGAGCACACGGAAAATAGCCCGAGGGACATTTGTGTGTCATAGTATGTCTTATAATACAGATTAAAACTGTCCTCGAAATGTTAGTGACAGAAGAGTGATGAGAAGTCCTATCATTGGAACATGGTCATTAGCAGGATTGAACAATAACAAAACCCTTGTTGTCAATTTGTGCAGAATGAGATGCTGGAGGAAGGACATGAGTACGCTGTGATGCTTTACACGTGGAGAAGCTGCTCCAGGGCCATTCCCCAGGTATGTTTGTATTTTCTTCCTTGTCTTGTTTCTTTTTTAAAGTAAATTTGGCAAAACCTATGCCCAATGGTCAGAGAAAAGCAGAGCTCAAGAGTAACTTGGGGTCACAATGACTTGGAAAATATGCATATTTCCCAACCCCTTCTTCTGTTTTTGTTTAGTTTAGTTTAGTTTTCTGCATTGTTGGTCCACGTCCACTAAAACTGTCTGATGGAATGAGGCACAGGTGGGTTTTTGAGTGCCAGATGTGAGAAAAGGAGAATTTAAACTTGTTCTTTTGTTGCCGTTTACACTCCATTCTTTACATAGAAGAGTGGTAGATTAAAAAAACAGAACCTAAAGCACATAAATCATAGTTTTGCATCCCTAAATGGAGATGAGAGCAGTACCGGAGATGCACCAAATTGTAAAGGGCTAAAATCTACTTCCCCTGAAATGAATGGATCAAAAGCGCTAAAGGACAGCACATCTGTCACCTTAAAGCATTTTCAGAGGAATCCATTTTGCACAAAGCTCACCGACAGCTTGGCGCAAACCGTTTTTAAAGAAGTCGCTTACCAGCAGCCTGCCTGTGTAGAGCGCTGCAGCATTTGTTATGTGAATATTTCAAAACACAGCCAGACATCTTGGTTTGGATTGACATTTCTCATTTAAAATGTGGGAGTTTCCATGCTGTTTCCTCAGGCTATAACAGCCAGGATAGTCCTTGTTCCAAGATAGTTCAGCTGCGTAAATCATTCCTCTTTGTGCATTACCACCCTATAGCTTTGCCTTGGTGAGTCATTTGTGGATAATCTTTTCTTTCCTACTTCCTGCTATAGCCATGCCTAGATGTCTGTTTCCAAAAGATTCATGGGTCTGTCATACGCCCAGTAGCACTTAAAATAATTGTGTGCGTCTGGGAAGAAAACTATAACGACAAGTAAAACACAAATAAACAAAGTAAAGTGTGAGTTTTCAGGAAGGACCAAAATCAGTGCTTGTGGTTGTACAACAGTTTTTAACTTTGGGTATGCCACGTAGACGTCATGAGAAAAATTAACCAGAACGGGAAGGGGTTCAATCAACATGAAGCCAATGCCACGTATTTTTATTTTTCACATAGTTACCCAACTGCTTTGTTAAGAAAATAAGTTCCATGTATTTAAAAAGTGTCTTTGTTTTTAACAGACATCTTCAGGATTATGAGGGGAAAAAAACAGTGTGATTTTCTTTTCTCTTTTTTTTTTTTAAATGATTTTTTTGAAAGTTGAGACGAGTGCTTTTGGTGGAAATTTCTGTTGTGGAGCTGCCCTGCTTTTTGGTTTTAAGATGTTTTTTCATGTCTGCCTGAGTTCCACCAGCTGTCGGAGGTAAACACACAAAAAAACCTTGCAAAACCGCGCTGCTCTGGGAGGGGTTTCTGATCGCGAAGTGTGGAGATTGGCTTCTCAAACCCGCTTCTGAATCCAAAGCTCAGCAGTCCTGAGTCCCTGTTTCTGCTCTGCTGCCTCAGATCAGAAGCCTTCCGCGTGCTGACGGCCCCATCTTGTGTTTGTCAGGTGAAATGCAACGAGCAGCCCAACAGGGTGGAGATCTACGAGAAAACTGTGGAAGTGTTGGAGCCTGAGGTCACCAAGCTCATGAAGTTCATGTACTTCCAGGTAAGCTTCAGTTGAATCCCCCTTTTTTAATTTTTCCTTTACACGAGCCACACCCAGCTGAGGTCTTTGATCCAGTTAACGTAAACTGGCTGTTTTTTTTTTTCCTTTAATTCTTTTTTTTTTTAAAGTTTTGTGTGACTTTTCTATTAGAAAAAAGATCTGGCTCTTGATTAAATGGATGATAACCGGTTTCGTATTCCATGTTTTGACAGCGGAAAGCGATAGAGCGCTTCTGTAGTGAAGTGAAGCGCCTGTGCCACGCCGAGAGGAGGAAAGATTTCGTCTCGGAGGCCTACCTGCTCACGCTGGGCAAATTCATTAACATGTTTGCAGTGCTGGATGAACTCAAGAACATGAAGTGTAGCGTCAAGAATGACCACTCTGCCTACAAACGGTATTGGAGTCCAGCTTTTATGTAGACGCTGTTCTTTCTTTTTCCTCCGAAGAAAAAGGCCAACACATGTCCTCCTGCACTTTCAGGGCAGCTCAGTTTCTAAGGAAGATGGCCGATCCCCAGTCCATTCAGGAGTCTCAAAATCTCTCCATGTTTTTGGCCAACCACAACAGGATCACTCAGGTTTGTACGTCTTTTAATTGATTCATTAGTTGATTTGTTTATTGGGTTGTTTTTCTTTTAAACTTCGGAATTCAGGAGGTAAAATAAGGATGCAATTTTTTTTCTACAGCATTTGCTTTGTTATGGTGTCTGATAAATGTACTTTGATTAAGTATTTTAGTCTTTTTTTATTTTCTGTGACGCACTAATTACGATCTGATTGGGAAGGCAAAAGTAGTTGCTCTGACGGTGCCCTATCAAAGTTGGGCTACTGCTGCGTTATGTGAAAATATAATTTCACCTCCTTCTAAAAGAAGGAAAAACAAGCTAATGATGCTTTCATCAGTAGAATAATGATCCCAAACGTACCTCTGTCTCCACGATGGACTACCTTAAATGGTGCAAAATTAGAGTTTGTGCTCTGTATTGTGCTCTGTGAAAGCATAAAAAAGCATCTGTGGGAAGGCCTCCAAAGAGAAGTCCTAGATGACTAAAAAAAACTCACAGGAAAACTGTTGGAAGGGTTGAAATTGCCAAAAGATTTATTTTTAAAAGCTTTTGTGTTTTGCATGCCTCTTTATCTGAAGTTTGTCCCCTGTCTTTTTTTGTGTGTATAGTGCCTGCACCAACAGCTGGAGGTGATTCCAGGCTACGAGGAACTCCTGGCAGATATTGTCAACATCTGCGTTGACTATTACGAGAACAAAATGTATCTGACACCCAGCGAGAAACACATGCTGCTTAAGGTAAATGCTTGTTTGACTTATTTTTCAGCTGTCAAATTCAAACATAGATATCAAATGGCATTTATCCAGTTCTAAGCAAATCTCCTGTATCACCTTACAGGTTATGGGCTTTGGTCTGTACCTGATGGATGGGAATGTGAGTAATATCTACAAACTAGATGCCAAAAAGAGGATCAACCTGAGCAAGATTGACAAGTTCTTCAAAGTAAAGCTTTTGTACCTTTTATTTTCTCTTTGAATCGTCAACCTTTTTGCCTAAAACAGTTTTGTGAGGTGCTTGCTCATTATTTTTCAGCTTCAAGTGGTGCCTCTTTTTGGAGACATGCAGATCGAGTTGTCACGCTACATTGAGACAAGTGCTCATTATGAGGAAAACAAGTCCAAGTAAGGGTCTAAATCCTTTTTTCATGTGTGAGGAAACCCCCGCCCCCAGAAAACCACTAAATTAAAAATGACCCCGCTGCTCTTTCGCCCACTCCCGACCATCCCAGGTGGACGTGCACCCAGAGCAGCATCTCGCCGCAGTACAACCTGTGCGAGCAGATGGTGCAGATCAGAGACGACCACATTCGCTTCATCTCGGAGCTGGCGCGCTACAGCAACAGCGAGGTGGTGACCGGCTCTGGCCTGGACAGCCAGAAGTCGGACGAGGAGTACAGGGAGCTGTTTGACCTGTCCCTGAGGGGTCTGCAGCTGCTGTCCAAGTGGAGCACGCACGTCATGGAGGTGGTGAGTGAAGCCGGTGGTTGACCTTTTCTTTTCTTTTTCTTTTTCTTTTTTTTTTATCACGAGCTACTCCACGGTCAGCAGGGTTTGCAAACATGAACAAAGATTTGTGGTTTTGCCATAGATTTCCCCAGTTTTGATCTATTGTTAACGCTTCTCTGTCTGTCTCAGTACTCGTGGAAACTGGTGCATCCCACAGATAAATTCTGTAATAAGGACTGCCCAGGAACAGCAGAGGAGTACGAGCGCGCCACCCGTTACAATTACACCAGTGAGGAGAAATTTGCCCTGGTGGAAGTCATCGCTATGATTAAGGGGCTGCAGGTAAAGCACAAAACGCGATCGAACATCTTAGTGATGTTGGCAGTACATCTTAACAGGCCAGATATTTCAGCATAAGGACTGTGTTTAGAGTCCCTCGGTGTGATGCTCTTCGTAGGTTCTGATGGGTCGAATGGAGTCGGTGTTCAATCAGGCCATCAGGAATACAATCTATGCAGCTCTGCAGGACTTTGCCCAGATGACCCTCAGAGAACCCCTGCGCCAGGCCGTGCGCAAGAAGAAGAATGTGCTCATCAGGTAAAGCAGGGGAACCTTCTCATCACTCTAAGGGAATCTACCTGTCTTTATATAACTGGATTTCCTTCCTCTGTAGCGTTCTCCAGGCAATTCGGAAGACCGTCTGCGACTGGGAGGGAGCAAGAGAGCCTCCTAATGACCCATGCCTGAGGGGAGAAAAAGACCCGAAAGGAGGTTTTGATATAAAGGTGCCTCGTAGAGCAGTAGGACCCTCCAGCACACAGGTGAGAAATAACAAATAAAAAAAACAACAAATGAAAAGACAAAAGCATCACTCAAGGCCTTTCTCTCTAATACTTTTCAAGTTTCAAGCTACTTGCGTCAAATGATGTCAGATAATGATGATCATGTTTAAAAATCTGCCTACCAAGTGTCTTGACAGTTTGTAAGCATTGCCCTTCTCCCTGTGCTTCCACCTCTGCAGCTGTACATGGTGCGCACCATGCTGGAATCACTGATCGCAGATAAAAGCGGATCGAAGAAGACTCTTCGCAGCAGCCTTGATGGACCCATAGTGCAGGCCATCGAAGACTTCCACAAGCAGTCCTTCTTCTTCACACACCTTCTCAACTTCAGCGGTGAGTTGAAAGCGTCAACGCAAAGCCATAAAAAACAAACCAGCACTGACACCACCGAGGCCTCATTCATTTGGTATTTCCCTCTCTGCTGATCAGAGGCCCTGCAGCAATGCTGCGACCTCTCCCAGCTTTGGTTCAGGGAGTTCTTCCTGGAGCTGACCATGGGCCGCAGAATCCAGTTCCCCATTGAGATGTCCATGCCCTGGATCCTCACTGACCACATCCTGGAGACCAAGGAGCCTTCCATGATGGAGTAAGACGAGCAGTTTAACAAAAACCTGCTAAGCCTTGAAAATGGCAGCTTTTTTAAAAAACCTTCCCCTTCCTTCCCTTTCAGATATGTGCTGTATCCTCTAGACTTGTATAACGACAGTGCCTACTATGCTCTCACTAAATTCAAGAAACAGTTCCTATATGATGAAATTGAGGCTGAGGTAAGGTTCAGCAGCTACCACTTGAATGAGATCCACATTAAGTCCAAACTGATCGACATGCAATCTCAGTTTTTTTTCTCAAACATTGCGATATTGTTCTTGTCTTTAGGTAAATCTTTGCTTTGATCAATTCGTCTACAAGCTGGCTGACCAGATATTTGCCTATTACAAAGCAATGGCTGGAAGGTGGGAAATGTGACCTCCTCTTGGTGCTTTTTTAGCGACTGGCCGATTTTTGCTGTTCTTCCTAAATTGGATAAAATGTCTTCCACAGTGTCCTCCTGGACAAACGCTTCAGAGCGGAGTGTAAAAACTACGGCGTCATCATCCCTTACCCTCCGTCGAACCGCTACGAGACGCTGCTCAAACAGAGACACGTACAGGTACATTCACTCCGTTATTTTAGCTTCCTCTCATTTGCAGGAGTTTGGGTATTTTCGTTGATCACCTTAAATATCTCTCAGACTACATAGTAACCCCTCCTCCTGCATTTTTCAGCTGCTGGGTCGCTCAATAGACCTGAACCGTCTGATCACCCAGAGAATCTCGGCAGCGATGTACAAATCCCTGGACCATGCCATCAGCCGCTTTGAGAGCGAGGACCTCACGTCCATAGTGGTGAGAAAAGTCGATCGCCAGTGGCATAAACGAAGGGGTGAGGTTTCCCGCTCCGCCTCGGTCATCCCTCTGACACTTCGCTCTCGCAGGAGTTGGAGTGGCTCCTTGAGATCAACAGGCTAACCCACCGGCTGCTGTCCAAGCACATGACACTGGACAGCTTCGACGCCATGTTCCGCGAGGCCAACCACAACGTCTCGGCGCCCTACGGCCGGATCACTCTGCACGTCTTCTGGGAGCTCAACTTTGACTTTCTACCCAACTACTGTTACAACGGGTCGACAAATCGGTGGGTTGGACGGTCCCGTTAGGGCGCGTGTCATTTAGCGGTATTTCCTTATGTTTGTAACTATTTTTATTTTTTTTCCCCTCTGCTCAGCTTTGTGCGCACAGCTATTCCCTTCACCCAGGAGCCTCAGAGAGACAAGCCAGCCAACGTTCAGCCTTACTACCTGTATGGATCCAAGGTATAATGCCGTTTATTTATTTGACATTTTCATAAAAGGTAAGGCCTCTCTCTGAAAAAGAAAACCTCCATTGTTTACCTTCTTTTTTTTTTTCCTCCTTAGCCTCTGAACATTGCCTACTCCCACATATACAGCTCCTACAGAAACTTTGTTGGCCCGCCTCACTTCAAGACCATCTGCCGCCTGCTTGGTTACCAAGGCATCGCTGTAGTGATGGAGGAGCTGCTTAAGATTGTCAAGAGTCTGGTATTTATCTTCATTTTGCACAACTAAAAACAGATTCCCTCGCCTTGGCGTGCAGGAGACTCTCAGTTATTATTGTTATCCTTGAGCCCTCTCTACCCTCCTTATGTGACGACCTATCCATGTTATTGGTCTGTGCAGTTGCAGGGCACCATACTGCAGTATGTAAAAACTCTGATAGAGGTCATGCCCAAGATCTGCCGCCTACCACGCCACGAGTATGGATCCCCAGGTGAGCCAACTGGACAGCTGCCACTTTCAGATTGTTTTCATGACATTCCTAATCCAAATATCTATATCATCTCTGATAGAGCACCAGCACTCTCATCAGAATGCTTTTTCCAAAAAGTATACGCTTTTCTACAAGGGATTTTGTAGAAAATGACACCTTCAGCAAATGATTTTGCTGTAGCTGTCACCTGCACTTCCATAAGAATACTGGTGACTTTTTATATCTGCTGGATTAAAAAAACAAATATATATATATATATTTCTTTTTTATGTCCACCCTGTTTTTTCAGTCAGTACACTTCCATTAATATCTTGCATTTCCAACCCATTTTATCACCCTCTTAGAATCATGCACTGCCCGCTCTTAACTGCATTCAGGGTTTTCCAAGTTTCAGCACTAAATATAAAGCATTCCACCACGACTTTAAGAAGAATTATAACAACTGCCGACAACAGCTAGTGTGTATCACTGTGAAATGCAGGTGTTGGAATGTAGGAAACAGATGGGGGAAGTGGCCCCTCTGCGGCATTGAAATCAAGTTTAGTTAAAAATAAAACAAAATGCCATGCAGGCTACAAAAGTCCAGCCAGCGTGCGAGGCTCCTTTAAATCCCAGGCTGTGATTCGCCTCAGCTCCACGTGGTGTTACATCTTTGTGTATTTCCTGACCTGTTTCCATGCATTTTTGCCAGAGCTGCATGTGCAGATTACAGTCAGGCAAATGGATTATCCCTATGAGACTTACTAATCTGTAGATTACTGATGTTCTGTACCTGGAGTTCTGTAACTAGCTTATGGCCTGTGATCTTATTGCCTGTAGTTAATGATCCTCCTGTCCTCGGCTGTGATGGCTCATGCTTTCACAGAATGTGGGTCAGGGAAGTCGGATGGACCCATTGACACCAACCTCTTTTTTCCAGTTAGCACCAGAGCAGCTTTTGCTTTCCTTTCCTACCTGACTTTGACTTTATCAAGTTTCTTAAAGAGGGTTTTAGTTAGCAGGGTGGTATAAATTTGCATTCAATTTGTGCCTTGCCAGGAATCCTGGAGTTCTTCCACCACCAGCTAAAGGATATCATAGAGTATGCAGAGCTGAAGACAGATGTCTTCCAGAGCTTAAGGGAGGTGGGAAACGCCATCCTCTTCTGCCTGCTCATCGAACAAGCCCTGGTAGGACGTCTCCTTTGCAAGTGTTGAAATTCCTTAGTGCTGTAATGTTGATATTAGTCTCCTGCTCCCAGGTCCCTGTGCTTAAAGTTTCAGTTGAGTCTTGGTTTCATAACTCCTCTGATTTTTTTATTCTTTTCTCTAAGCAAACGTCATTGAACCACAAATATGTGTCTGTCTTGACTGCTGTGTTGTTATGAGGAAAATCAATAATCTGGGTGCTTTAAGGTTTGAGCTCAGCTTGTGACTCTGACTCACTGCCTAAATCGAATACCGTGGTCAGAAACTATCAATCCATGTGTTCTGAGGTGTGTTTGAGCTTTCGATGCTTTATTTTTTCTGAAACGTAACTCTATTTTTCATTACACGCTGGCTACATCTTCAGGTGGTAAGGATTTAGGTCTCATTGTTGGTATCACAATATCAGAGACCAAATATGTGTTATTTTCTTTCTTTTTTTTCTGTCCCTCTTTTAGTCTTGTTTATTTAGACTGCTGTGGTTCCGCTTGTTTTTTTCCTCTTTTCTTTGTTAGTTTTGACACTCACACACACACACACACACACACACATTCACCTCCTAACAGACATGGAAGCAGACGGACTGATGCTATATCTTTTCAATATCTCTAGGGTTTAAGTGAAAATTACATTAGGGTAAAATGTTGTTATTTTCACTTGCAAAACAGGCTTTTGCTATTTAAACTTGAATGTGTACACACACGGAGCTGAAGCTAATTTAGGACTCTTGACACCCTGATCCTCCATCAGGGCGAGGTCATTCCACATTTCTGATTCTGGTTCTCACCCTTAAGTCTCTTCATCAGATATAGCTTCTGAGTTTGGCTGCTTGTAATGCCTGCATACATAACACTGTTTTGCCCTTTTCATCGCTCTTCTCATCATTTCTGCCTGACTGCTTTGGCCGTGTATGCGTTGGTCTGCCTCCAATCGTGTAGGTTTGTGTGTGTAGAAGCTTCCTTTATTGCATGGATCTCTCCCCCCACCCCATCCGTGACCCCTCAGCCAAGGATTTTCGATGCTAATGTTTTGCATTTAGTATGATTTATGGCCTTCACTAACATCCGCCACGACAACGGCTTTGGCACGTCGGTTATTGTGTCATTTCATAGAAGGTTAAATCCTCAGTGACATGACATTTGGAGACTTGGCATTTTGTTAACGTGACCTTTTTGCTCTTAAACCGGACAGCATGAGATTTTCTGCTTAGAGTTTTATGAATTGCCAGACATAAACACCAGCCTATCATCATAGCCTAATAGATATAACCTCCACTCGCATCGTCACACCACTGATGTAGTCTCCATCTTCAGGTAATCTGAAGAGGATGTAATTGCATGCTAGTGGTCATCCTCAAAACAAAGCCCGAGGCCGTTTTCTTCTTGCATTGCGGAACCTCATTAACATTATTTTAAATTGTCGGCGCTTAAAAAAAAGAAAAAGCAAAAAACCCCAATGTGCTTCAATCATAGTCCCAGGAGGAAGTATGCGACCTGCTTCACGCTGCCCCCTTCCAGAACATTCTTCCCAGAGTCTACATTAAAGGTACGCAAAATGTTTTACTCACAGTTTGGAGCCTTTTCTGGTAGATACGTGGAGGCTCTTTAAAGCTTAATGGATCTCTGGAAATGATGCATGCATGTGTGTGTTCAACAGAGGGAGAGCGCCTGGAGGTGAGGATGAAGAGGCTGGAAGCCAAGTATGCCCCTCTCCACCTTGTGCCTCTGATCGAGAGGCTGGGAACCCCACAGGTAAATTCAACCCCTTTCTGTCTTTTGGAAGAATGACCGATGAGAAAAGACCAATAGAAACGCATTGTTTCTCTTTTATTGTCTTTTTTTTAATCAGCAAATCGCCATTGCACGGGAAGGGGACCTGCTGACCAAAGAGCGGCTGTGCTGCGGCCTTTCCATGTTCGAGGTCATCCTGACGCGCATCCGCAGCTTCCTGCAGGACGCGGTGTGGCGCGGGCCGCCGCCGACCAACGGCGTGATGCACGTGGACGAGTGCATGGAGTTCCACCGGCTGTGGAGCGCCATGCAGTTTGTCTACTGCATCCCCGTGGGGACGCACGAGTTCACAGCAGAGTGAGTAACGTCGGGCGGCGTCCATACAGGACCGTTAGGCACTCACGGAGCTCACCGCCGAAATGGAAAATAACTGATAACTGAACACATGGACAAGCTACCGCTGGCTATGAGGAGGGTTCAGATGTCGGATGGGTTGAAAGTGCAGCCGTGACAGAATTGCCCTTGAAAATTCGGTAGATGTAACTTGTCATAAAGATTTTATGTTTAGAGAGGTAAAAGCAGGGATGCTGGCAAAGCATTCTGCTTTCTGAGGAAGAGAGTGGCTCTGGGAGTGTCTGTTGGACAGTTGCTGAATGGGTAATTCCTGCTGTCACCAACAGGGACCAGAACCTTTTGTTTTGTTTTTCCCATTATAGACTGTTCATCAACATGGCTTGTGCTGTGTAGGGTTGTGTCATCTTAATATTTTTGCTGCTTGAACTTGTGAGGTTGTAGTAGATTGTCACAAATGTAAAACTTTGGAAGCAAAATGCATTAGAAAATAAAACATAAGGGCCTGAAACTCCTTCAAAAGCTAAACAAGCGTAACTGAGACGTGACGTACATTACATCCACTGCCCTGGTCTTTGCCCCACAATGATAATTAAAATGTTAGAATTCCTATGCTTTCTAAGGAAAGTGCTTTGAACAACCATACAAGCTCTTGATAAATACAGTCATGCCTTGTTTTTGTTTTTTTATTTAAAAAAAGCTTTTTCTACATAGCTCTGGTAACTACGAGGGATACAAATAGCAAAGTGAGTGAATATAAGCAAAGGTCCGCATCTGAAAAGATTGGCCCCAGAGAGAGACCTTTACACGTCACTGCCCTATGTGACAACAGCAGCCGACTAGGTTTTACAGGACACTCTGGTGTCAACAGAGGTGAACCTCAGCTGCACGATTTAACACGCAGTCATGTCGCATCTTTGGTGGACCTGTGCCTGGCTCGGTAAAAAGCTTATCCTTGTCCTGTGCGTGTTTCGCCTTCCAGGCAGTGCTTCGGGGACGGGCTGAACTGGGCCGGCTGCGCCATCATCGTGCTGCTTGGACAGCAGCGTCGCTTTGACCTCTTTGACTTCTGCTACCACCTGCTCAAAGTCCAAAGGCAGGACGGCAAGGACGAGATCATCAAGAATGTGGTGAGCATACTATTTTTTTTTTTTTTTTTTGTACTCTTACTTTTTGAAAACGTAAATAAAAAGTCAATAGACCCGATCTAAGGATTCCCCTTCCTGCTCTGTTTCGTCTTGACCAGCCACTGAAGAAGATGGCAGACCGCATCAGGAAGTACCAGATCCTCAACAATGAGATATTTGCCATCCTCAACAAGTACATGAAGGCAGTGGAGACAGACAGTTCCACTGTGGAGCACGTTCGCTGTTTCCAGCCACCTATACACCAGTCCCTGGCCACCACTTGTTGAAAAAGAAGCCTTGACAGATAGCACACACACACACACACACACACACACTCTCTAAACCACCCATTAACCGTGTTGTTTATTTCTGCCGCTGTTTGGTCTTTAAGAGGCACCTGTCACTTCAACGGCCCTGTGCCATTTTATAGATTCCAACAGATCGCCTCAAAACTCATCCTTTTATTTCGAATGGTACCATCTTTGGATTCTTCAAAGAAGTTAACCAGACCAGATGTGGAGATGTACATTCACGCCTTTTCCTTTCTTTTCTTTTTCCTTTTACTCTCTGAGTGGCTATCGCTCAGACTCATGCATGCCTTCTCTTATTCCTTCAGCTGCTCACTTGTGCATTGGAACACCAACAAAAATGCCTACCAAAAGAATCCCTGTTTGAAAAACCTGAAATTACAGCCATTCAGAGGAAAGGAAGTCAGCCTAGTCAATGGAGAGCTGAGACAAAAAGTACTAACTAATGCAGTGTCTGATTATCTGAAGACCTTTGGGTGCTGTACAGCTGTATGTATCTGTACGCCGCGTGCTCTTCGTGTCCTTTTTTGACAAAACCTCATCTCAGTCTTTACAAGTATTTGTATAATGATCCAGTACGCCCACATCCTAATGTATTTGGCTGCTTATTCATTTACAATTTCCCATTACTGGATTGCTTTTAGAAGCATGGAAGCGGTTCGCATTTTTAAAAAAAGATTTTGCTTTGATTTATCTTAACGGCCTTGCGTTGTTTTCTTGCCTCCTGACAACGTTCATTTGATACCAGTTCCTCTGTAAAATTTCACTGTTGAACAAAGTGAAGTGTCGAGTGTCGTAGTTGTTCTTGTTTTTAATTAAGACCATTCTTAGTTTTACACATTCTTGGTATACTTGCCTCTCTGCTGTTTACTGGAAACCTCAACAGTTTGTTCCACTTCCTCTGTCTGTTGCAATGATTTTTTATATAATGTACACAAACAGTGATATTATTTACAAATTTTCAAAGTACATATTCACCTGAATAGATGTGTGATCTTTTTTGTTTTTTTTAAGTCAAAATACAGAAGAAAAAAAATAAGATTAGAAAAGAAATACCTCTTGGTTGTGTAAAGATTGTCTTGTACTGGACATACCTGGTTTGAGTGTGAGTGGATGAGCAGACTTATGAGACAGCCCTCACTTGCAATGAAGAAAAATATATAATAACATAATGAATTAAAGGGCAGTTTCCTAAAGATAGTCAGTATTTACTATTGTTGCACTTTTGGTTTAGATATAGCAATGTTTTTCATATATTAAACATTCCTCTTTTATTTTTTGATTTGAAGAAACTAATGAATTACAAACTAAGATAGTCCCTCCTCAACAGCCCTGCGATCAATTTCTGCTTTGTTTTAAATGAGGAAACTTTCTTTTGTAAATCCAGTGTCTTTTAATCCTATTTATTCAACTCCAATTTATTGTTCATTTAAAGGTTAATCTAGTAAAAATGAAGGTACCAATGTATCATCTTGAAACCTTAGCATGGCAGATGTAATTTATTGTCATCAGTGGCTCCATTTGTGACATGAGGCTTTGTTTATGATATTGTTGTACAAGTGATGATGTTTTCAAGTACAGAAAAAAATGGATAAAAGAATATAAAATGTACAACAATGGTCCTGCGAAGGATTTGAAATTATGTTGTATTTCCATGAAATAAAGAAAAAAAAGTTTGAGCAAACTATATGGAGTACAAATGTATAATATGAGTATGAGGTTAACCTTTGAGTTGAGCATTAAAATCTTTTCAGACTGAAATTAATTCTATGTTGAAATGACATTTCTTTGGATATCTGAGGCTAAACAAAATAGCTACTTTTCATTTCCACTTTAGCGCAGCATGTTCACTTGATGTGAAATCGTATTAAAAAAATCCCCTCGCATCGTTGAAAAGAAAAAGAAAGTGTGTAAATGCATTGCAGATTCATTATAAACCCATGTTTTGTGGACCAAATCAATCCAGTTTTAGCCAAGCACAAAAATATGATAGACGTTACCAAGCAAATTTGCATACAAGATAGTACAGTAGAATTTGTTAGGAGAATATATATTAAATTAATACACAAAATTCTTTAACAGGTTCGGGTTATGGGTATTTCTGATATCAGAGGGGTTGTACAGAGTTATACAAAATCAGTTGCATGACCCAAAAAGTATCTTTGTAATAATAACATTAGCACACAGAGACTAAACGCTTTCTGTTGGTTGGTTGGATAAAAGAGTCAATCCAGCCTGGAACATCTTTTCATACTCTTTATATGAATAAAAACAGACTTTGAACACTCTTCATATGAGTCAGCTCCTGTGAACTGCTGTCAGGTCTGTTGAAAGGCTAACGTTTGCGGCGTGTCGTCACACAGAGCTCCATTCCTATTGGTCAGGCCAGCATAAAGATACGTACGACGTTATTTTGAAATTTCAGCGGCGGATCGTTGGCGTTTGTTGTGCGTGACATTCCGAGCTGCGCTGCAGCCTTTTGCAAAAACTACAAATAAAACAAATCAGTTTTTTTTATTTTTTGTTCGCATAAAGTTATTTGGAAATGTCTTTTTCAAGGGCTCCCCTGAAGAGGTTCAATGAGAACGTAGGTAAGTAACGTTAAAAAGCCGGGAGCTAGCAGCTTGTTGGCAAATCATCCACTTAAGTGCTTTAACGGTAAGTAGCTTTGCTGAAATACTTAGCTAACGGCTAATCAAACTTTAGGTTACCACAGGGTCGGTGTGGTGGCTCATTAGGTAATTTGATTTCACAAAGCGCGGCAAAAATAACGAAGAAAAAGTAGCGCTGACTTGACGGGTTGTGTTAAGAGAAGCTAACGTTGTTCTGTTGCCCGAAGGTTGCGCCCCTCCACCGGGAGCCTATGAGATCAAATCCGGGGAGCTGAAGGGAGCAGCATCCTTCGATAAATCAGATCGTTTCAGAACAGTCAAGGCAGGTAGGTCGTTGTTAAAAACACAACCCGACAGAATTTTGCCAAACGTATGTTGTGTTCCTTGCCTCTAAGCGTCTGCCTGTGTGTCCAGTTTCTGGGGGTGTTCTGGCACCTCCATCACCATCCAGAAATGCCCTCGTCTCTCCTGTCCGCAGGACTATGTCTGTTGATGGTCTTGTAAGTTTACTCTTATTGTAGCATGTGAATGTAATTGTGTTAGATGGATGTCTCTTTTCCTATCATAAAAGATATCGTTTGCTTTTAAAAACTTTCCAAAATGCAGACTGAGGGCTCCAGTGTGAAGAAAGAGAGGAACGGGATGACCATTGACAGGAAGCAGCAGAAACTCCTGGAGAGAGAGGTACGAGTCTCCTAGTACTATTCACCATTCTTTCTAGACTCCAGATGTGATAACCCTGAGCAACAGTTCTGCCTCTGTCCAAGTAACCAGTTCAGCCGCTTTGGTTTGCAGATCCGGTCTCTGGTGCAGCAGCGGGGGGAGCAGGACCGCCGGCTGCTGGTGCTGGATGAAGAGCTGAAGAAAGCTGAGGCCAAACTGCTGGCTGCAGTCAGGGAGAAGACTGGCCTCGCTGCCAATGTTACCACACTTGAAAGACAGCGAGCGGAGCTCAAAAAGGTCAACGAGTTCCTTAAAAACAAGGTTCGTATCGATTTATTGTTGTCAAAGTATTGGAGAAAACCCCCATTCAGTCAGAATACAATGTTTATTGAGTTGTGCCAACCTTATATATATTAACAGTACTAAATTAAACATGCATACTTTTTTTTAAGGTTTCTGCAGACACCACAAAGAAGAGGATCAATTCCCTCACAATGGAGCTGATGGAAGTCAAGAACCATTTGGATGTCAAAAACAAGGTACGCTTCTCTCCTAAAGGTTTTATTACAGCTTAACACTTAGAGTTTGTACGCACCCTTTTGGTGTGCTCACGTCGGCTTTGTGTGTGTGCAGGAGTTAAGTATCCTGCAGATTAATACCGAGAGCCAACTGAAGGTGCTGCAAACTGACCTGCAAGCTGCAAGGGCCTCAACCTGCGCCCAGCAGGACAGGAATAAAGACTTGGGTGGGTGAGACTGGAAAATTATGCAAAGCTACAATGAAACAAATTAATTGAACAACATTGGTAGTTATACTTATTCTTTTTGTGTTTTGTTTTAAGAGGATCTCTATGAAGTGGCAAAAACCCAGAATGAAAGTCTTGAGAAAGAAAATGCTACTCTACATGGTGAGTTTTGTTCACCTAGTTAGTAGAATGAAACGTGTTTTAAGAACCTGCTTACAAAGATGCATTTATTTCCCTGTTATTACCTTTTTATGAACAAATGAAATGACAGTTTGATGCAGCCCTGCTCCCGCTTGTGTTTATATCTTTTCTAATTTACTAACTGACTATTTTGTTGTTTCTCAGCTGTGGTCAGGGAGCTCAGGGAGGAGATGAAAGTGCTTCAGGGATACTTGGATTCAGCCAATGACCAGATCCAGGTATGAATTGTGGCAACCGGAAAAATGATTCTGATTATTTTTGTTATCGTGATTCTGTGAAAGATGTATTTGACCTGTTTGTAGGATCTCCGCTTGAAGATTCAAGAAAACACGGTGGTGCGTTCTGAAATGGAGAAACTAACGTAAGGAAGGGCCTTTTCTCTTTCCTTTATTATATCAGTTCCCTGCCAGTTCTTGTACACACTAATGCCTCTTTTCCACAGCCAATTAGAGAAGGAACTAGAGCAGTGTACCAGAGAGCTGGAAAACACAGAGAGTTTGCTGAGAGACAAAGAAGAGGAGGCCCAAACATTCCAGGAGGCACTGCAGGCATCAAAGGACACTTTATGGGAAGTGGAGAAGAGGATGGAGTACCAAGAGGTGGAGCTGCAGTCCGCTCAAAAGTCAGCGAGTGACATGGAGAAGCAAGTGAAGCTGGCCAGCCAGGAAGGTCAAGACTCTGAAGCAACGGTCCGCCAACAAGAAACGGAGCTGGCCCGACTCAGGGAGGTGCTGAGGAGGACGGAGAGGGAGCTGGATGAGAGGGTGGCCCATCTGGAACAGAGGTGCCTTTTCTCCGAGGAAGAGAAAAGTATGTTTAGCCGAGCCCGACAATGGCCCAAACGCCGGTTTCTTCAGATGTCTGTAAGCGCCGCTTTGTCTGTTCTCTGTTTGGTGTTAGACAAGACTCAAGAGGAGGGACTGAAGAAAGTGGAGGAGCTCAAGATGGAGCTGGCCTCGCTGCAGCAGGCGAAACGAGATGAGAGAAAGAGACAGATTCAGCTGGAGCAGGAGCACGCTGTACTCACGGAGGAGCTGACGAAAGAAAAGGTTACATAAGGACTGTTGCCTGTCACGCTTTCACCCCGGGGAAGATGCTCACAGCGAAAGTTTAGGGGTTTTGTTTTGCCCTTATTTTTGTTTTTCTTTCTTTTTTTGCCTACAGGCGCTTGTGGACTCCCTGACTGTGCTGGTGGAGCATGAAAGAGCGGAGTCTGAGGAGCGGCTGACACAGCTGAAGGAGGAGATGGAAGAGGTGCTGGGAGAGCTCGCCGTCATGGAGGAGCAGGAGCACAGGAGTCAGGAGGTGGCAGAGAAGAGTCAGGAGGCCCTTCAGAAGCTGCGGGAGGAAAAAGACGAGCTGGAGCGGCAGCTAAACGATACAAAGCAGCTCCTGGAGAGGTGAGCAACACGCAAACGCGGGGCCTGAAAACTTTTGGCGAGAGTTATCAACAGGAGGCTTAAAAGTCAGACTGGGGTTAAACAAGTGCGGCTCAACTTTTTTGTTTGTGTTGCTATTTAAATGCAACACAAACACAAACCCAGCATTCGGCGCACATGCAGTGTTTGAAAGTAATTGCAGTAGCCTGTCCATCACAAGTGTGACATCGTCAGCGGGTCAATGGCTATTTCGGTAAATGACCGGTCGGATGTTTGCGCGTCACCTCGTTAGCTCATCTGTCGTGTGCATGAGGGCGGCGGGTCACTCGCCGAGGAGCATGTGATCTGCTGTCATCAGACAGTCGAGAGTGGTGACTGACAGCTCAAACAAAGAGGGAGATGCTGGGTATCGTGTAGTTATTTTCGGAGGATGGCAGAGTTTTGATGTTCAGCTTTACAACCGTGACATTCCAAATCAGGCTTGTCCTGCCATCTATCGAAGCGTGATGGACAGGGTCACCAGAGATTTGTTTGTTTTTTGTGGGGTTGTATGTTGTTTCTTCTCCTTTAAAAAAAAAAAAAAAAAAAAAAAAAAAATTTTTTTTTCTAATTTTTTTTTTTTTTGAGAATCCACTGCCCTCTGAATCAAAATCAGCTTGTATCCAGACATTGATTTTCTGACCACAGACAGTTTGATCAGAAACAAAAAAAAATGTTTTTTCCTGTATACAGAATGAAACAAACATTTATAATGTATATCATTTTACATGTAGATTTCACATCTGTGCGTCTTTTTGAAAAAAAACTGATGGGGTCAATACTATAAAATTAGGCTATTATCAATTAATGATCTGTTTATGTTGAAGACTATTTTTCTGTAGCTGAAGTTAAAACATTAAGACAAACATCAAGTGTATTGAGAATGAATACAATTATGCTTTAAGTCTTAGTAGCAAAAACAGAAGACATAGACTTCATGTATAGGGCATTACCCTCAGGACTAAATTCATTCTAATTATTATTCGAAGGAACTTTGTGATTCCCTAAAATATATCTGATCAAGTATATTTAAAATGTTCTCTAAAACCATTTTATGATTTATGGGTGAAGTCGATTCTTGGCTGCAAACAGCAAACCAAGACTTTCTTTGGGACTTAGAGCTTTAGTTGTAATTGGTCTTCCCTCAAAAGGCAGAAAGATCGTAACTATTAAAATGACTAAAGCTTTTCTTTTATATGTCACTAACTTTAATTCATATAGTGTCCTCTTCATATTTTTGTAGTGTGATTCATATGGCAGACAGAAGATCAGAGTGTAAATGAGGGGTGAAGCAAAAACCGTAAAAAAAAAAATATATCGGAAGGAAAAGTCTGTAAAATCATTCGAATTTCAGCAGCAAATCTGTGTGCTTGTCATTTCCAGCCGGAGCAGTGACGTGGTGGCTTTGCATTTGGCCGCCATGAGAGAACTCCAAGAGGCAAACGCAGACCTGCAGGCAAAATTGGGAGATGTTGTCACGGAGCTAGAAAGGTGAGAACTCAACGGTGGGGCCTTTATCATGTTTCGCTGAGGTCGGGTTGATTCAGGCTGGCTTTAAACTCTCAGTCCTTAACAGAACGCCTGTCTAACTTTTCAGCACCAAAGAGGCTCTGAGGGGAGAGAAGGGAAGACAAAGAGAGCTGGAAATGGAGCTGGAGAAGGTGACCCTTCAACTGAGGGAGTTGATGGAAAAAATGGTTGAAGAAAAAGGGGAAGAGATCGACAAAATGAAGGAGTGGACGGACGAGCACCAAGAGAGACTGCAGGCGGAGGAAAAAGCCCGAGAGAATTCCCGGTAGGCTGGAAATGTCTCTGTCGAAATAATTGTCTCTTATCCACCCTTTTGTAAACTTCTTACTCCGTGAACTTGCAGACTTTTGCTGGAGGTGCAGGCTCGCTTTGCCCAAAAAGAGGAGGAGATGAAGGCCGCGGAGGCGAGGCACGCGGCTCAAATGGACCTGCTTCAGCAGGAGCTGCGGATCCGGACCAGCGAGAAAGAAGAGGCTCTGGGGCAACTGGATCAACAGAAGAGCCAGAGTTTAACTGAACTCCAACATGAGAGGGAAAATGCCCAGAAACTGCTGGAAGAGATCAGCCAAGAGAAGGAGGAAATGATCAAACGGATCCAAGAAGAAAGGGAGGAGAAAGTCCAAATTGAGGGAGCCTACCGGGAGAACAAAGAAGCATTCGAGGCAGAGAGAAGAAACCACGAGCTGGTCAGGTCAGAGGTGCTCAGACTACAGGATGAGCTTAAGAGGGTTGATGAGGATAGAAAGAGTCTGCTGTCTGAAGTAGAGCTCAAAGAACAGCTGAGGCGTGCTCTGGAAAGTCAGCTAGGTGCTACGGAGGAGGACAAAAACCAGCTTGGATTTCGTCTGGACGAGGCCGAGCAAGAAAGGGTTAGCCTCAAGGCCCAATTAGCCCTCGCAGAGGAGAAGACGAAGGCTCTGGAACACGAGCTGGAAACCCATCGACAAGACAGGCTGGCGCTGGGGGAACAGGTAGAAACCCTGAGTCAGCAGAAGGTCACACTGCAGTGGGAAATGGAGGAGCAGCGGCAGGAGCTCCAAAGACAATTAGCCGAGGCGCAAGAGCAGAGGTAAGAACAGAGGGGTTTCTCTCTGATCATGGCTTTTCCAATTTGCAGCTTTTAGGTAATCATTCTTCTCTTTTAAGCTCCCCAAGGTCTGAAACCGAGCACTGGAGGAAACAATATGAGGAGCTGTATTCTAAGGTCAGGCCATTCCAGGTTAGTCATTCTCACATACACCACCTCAAAGAAGCCCTCACAAGCTTTAATTAGAGAGAACTTTAGAATATTTCCGTTCTGAAATTATTCAAATATAACGTCAGGTGTTGTTAGGCTCAGTGCCACCTGCTTTATGTCAGAGGTCACAAATATCTCCATTGATGCTAACAGCTTTAGCATCTTCATTAAGACATACGAGCTGGTATGTCTTCAGCGTTCCGTTGGCAGGTGTCTGGTGGACATCCCAACGCAGATAGCCAAACCTTCTGCTCATTTCCGCCCACAGGAGCAGCTGGACGCGTTTGCAGCGGAGCGGAACGCGCTGCTCAACGAGAACGGGGCCAACCAGGAGGAACTAAACAAACTGGCCGACGCCTACGCCCGCCTCCTGGGTCACCAGAACCAGAAGCAGAAGATCAAGCATGTGGTTAAGCTCAAAGACGAGAACGTCTCCCTAAAACAGGTGGGACGTCAGGGCAGCGCTGTCCACCTTGCGAAATGCATATTCAGTGTTACCACTGTGAAGTTGTTCTTCATGTTCTTCTCCCGCCCCTCGGTCTGTTTATATAGGAGGTGCTGAAGCTCCGGACACTGGTTGGCCGCCAGAAAAGCGACCTGGAGCAGCTCAAGTCAAAGCTCCCAGGGGCTCCCCGCCGCAGGTTTGATCCCAGCAAAGCTTTTCAGCACGACAAGGAGAACTTGCAAAGTGACACAAGCAAACCTCTGAAAGACGGTGAGTGCCAAACTGCACTCTCCCTACAGCTGATGCATAATATTATAGGCCACCAGCCATAAAGATGTCACCGTACGTGATAAGCAATTAATCAGTTTTTATTATATATATGTTTTTTATTTAAATGTTGTTTTAAATTTGCAGTGTTCTGAATTTTTGTCCTTGCCAGGAAACCATATAGAGTAGAAGAACTCTGCCAACCGACAAGATGTGACAACAGCTTTTCATTTCATCGCTTGAAATTGGTGGTTCCTATATATTATGTATTCATTATTCTTAAGTGCATTTCCTTTAAATGTTTAACAGCTTCTGTGTCAATTAGTTTGCTTAAGGTTGAGAACTATTTTAATGTGCGCAGATGGTTAGCAAAAGATACTTAGTGTTCACAATTGGCTCAAATGTAGTGAAAGTAATGTAATATATTGTCTATTTGAATTTCTTTTATTCTTGAAACCTTCTTAGCAATTCTTTGGGTAACATGACTAGAAGCTATTTCACTGGAATCAGCTGTTTGTAAATGGTCTATTCTATGTAAATAAAGACAGATTTTAATATGCCTCTTAAAGCTTTGCTGACGTTTATCCGCCTCTCCGCTGCATAATGGCTCTGCACAGAGCCCTTTAGCCAGGCATCTCTCTGCTCGTAGCTGTCCTCAGCCAGTAGAGGGCACTCTTGGACTACGGCCGCAGGTCAGCGCCGGTGCAACCCACGCCTTTCACTAGTGGCTACAAAGAACACACATTCACATCTTTGCTGAGAGGAGCCTCGGGTTATGGGTCATGAAGCTTTATTTCCTTCACTTGATAAGACATAGCCAGCAAGTATCAGGCCAGAAATTGACTTCGGGACCTTTTTTTTCTTTTTACAAGCTATGAGTGGTGCTAGTTGTGGAGTGGCGGGTCAGTCGCAGTAGCCTTCCAGGTGGTGAATGCTGCACGGCTTGTGGCAGCACTGCTCCACGATGCCTCTCTTCACCTTGGGCTCGTCACGGCCGGACAGAACCCTCCACAGCCGCTCCTCCTGCCTGACCCTCTCAGACAGGTACCCTTTTGAAGTGGAGAAAAAGTGTCCACAGCCCAGCGTTAATTCCTGCCGCGACATTCTATGCAAACCCACCAGAAAAACGCCATCGACTGTTCCGACTTTCATGGAGACTCAATATCTAGTTAATCTGATCGCGCCAATCCATTTAGTCTTGTTAGTCTCCGCTTCAAGCGCGATGATATGATGAGGCTGCAACAGAGGCGTAGCATGGCTCGCTCACTGATGTCGACTTCAGAACATGAATAGAATGTTTGAGGTGAAAGATCTAAATAATGTGTTTTGGGAATAACTTAATGAGGGATACGGGGGTTTCATAAGGTTTGTGATGAATGGATTTGTTACATCACAGATGCTTAAAGCACCAATAAGACACCAATAGCCCGGTCTGAATTAAAAAGGCAGAGGAGAGGCTATGCACACTAATGATGCCATGGGCAAATGCATAAATGCATCGATTTATCTCCGGAGTTTACCAAAAGTCTGTCCTGCTTGCAAATTTGGGAGTTTTCACTCATCTGATCCTGAATTAAAGTGCACAGACGCTGGCGGGGGGGTAACTAAACCAGACTGCTGCTTTGGGGTCATGTCACGCTGTTGTTACTGAGCTTCCACAGTGAATTAATCTCATTTGTAAGATATTTTTTGTGACAATCTGACAAACAAAGTCAAGTTTCCAGAATTTTCGGAACCTTACCAACGAGCTGTTCCAGATCCCGCTTGTGGGTTCGGCTTGGACTGTAAAAAAATCCCCTCTCCCCACATACAAAGTAGAGGGCGTCCACCAGGTGGGATCCACACAGGTGCTGGATGGGGGTTGAGGACGCCCCTGGGGGGTAGAGCAACAGCAGTAACATCACTGACACCGCCCATGGTACACTGGCCATATGAGGGAGACCGCTTGAACACAACAAAAAAAGGGGGGGGGGGGGAAATCACATAACATGGGAAATATGTGGTTATTTCTGTTTCAAAAACAGTGTAAAACTAACATTTTTTATCATAACAGTAATAATGATTTGTGTCCTGATAGACAGAAGTCAGCATATAGAGATGCTGAAAATCGGTCGGAACATTCCTGGAAAGACTTGGGCATAACTAAGCCACTCTCTTTTCATAACTTCAGTTACATATCTTGTGAAGCTCTAGCAGAAAAACTCTGGGGGTGATGGCACAGAACACGCCAGCAATAGCCCAACTAAAACATATGGTCTTTGAAGTGAGCAGACAACTGAATAATTCATTTGTTCATAGGAAATCAAAGGCCAGGATGAAAAGCCGCGGTAAAACAAGGTCTGCAGAAGAATCGCTGTTTGACATTCGTCTCTAAACTTTACAAATCTGCGCAAGCTTAAGGAGACAAAGTCATGATAGAGAAAACACGCAAGTTCAAAAAATGACATTTGGATGATCCTGCTGCTGCAGTTTTAATGGGAATCCTGTGGAAACGAACCCTTTGCTACTTCCTGAGAGAACTGGATAGTTTGAAAGTTTGAAAATTGACCTCATAGATACTTTTTTCTTTGATGTCGGAATTTCTATTGTTATATCTTTTTTCCCCAAAACTTTAAAATGGACATCACAAATCCAACATTGCTGTCAGTTTTATCTTGACAAAGCCCTGTTTGAGTCAGCGCAAAATTAATTGAAATTCTTACCTTGTGATTTTCATTGTTTTTCTTAATGGCACTAAAGCACAAATTACAAAAAAAAAGAAAAAAAAAAGAAGCTTTTGTCCAAAATTACAGAAAAATTTCGTCCATAAATTCAATTGCGATGGATAGTCTTGCAGCTTTGACGTTCATTTCCCTTTTCAAGGTGAAAAACATACTTAGCAGTAATTTAGAAATTATATAGAGCTTTTGTGGACATCCTGTAGTAAACTGCAGATTATTCGATGGGAGATAAATCAGTTTAACGGTGGCTTTAACAATGCACATGTGCCAGGCATTACAAAATTGGCCGAGAGCTGCGTGTGGTCTGCCACTCCTCTATCCCTCTTGGTCATTTGCCAGGCACCTTGGACAAGTAGAACGGTTGAATTATCGATCCTGTCCGTGCCAGACTTTATTTCCATCCTGGTTATTGTGGACATCAATTTTAACGGAGCAAAATATAAGGGAACGCAAAGAAGCTGGCTTACCTGTGCCTTAGGTCTGGGAGCAGCAGAGCAGCTGGTGGTTAGAGATGAAAAGGGCCCAGGCTGTACGGTGCAGAGAACATCTCTGCTTGGCTTTCCCCTTTTTAAACTCGCCACCTCCACCTGTCCTTTGTCAACAGAAAGCCTAAGGTCTTCTTATTAACACCCTGACCCATAAGCGTGCTTGATCTGCTCTTCGGCGGCACGACGTCATTTAACTGACAGTGGACCAAAAGCATCAGGATAAAGTTGCGAAGGCACTCGCCCAGAGTCATACCCACCTCAACCCCTGCTGTGTAATGGCCTGACTGGCACCGTTCACAAGCTTACAAACACCATATGTCACAGTCTAATCAGTCTGGATAAGCAGATCTTCAGTCTGTTAGCGACCGCTAGTGGCATGTTAAAGCTAAAGCACCATCTTTTAGAACGATTCAATGTTCTGTCTTCCTCTTTGTAACTTACACGAAAGAATTAAACGTCACAAAAACAGACAGAGATGTGCCGTTGTTGTAAAGCCTGTAGGAGAAAAAAAGTTAGTCGGGCCTGTAGCTTCTAACTCATCTCTCACAAGTAGTCGCTGCTCTTGATCATTTCCCTGCTTCACTGCACCCACCGTGGGTGGGCCGGATCTAGATGAAAGCTGGCATACTGTGAAATGTTCTATCACATGATGCGTCCATTCTTGGGCCTTGTGGTTGCGGCCCAGCGTCGCGTGGTCATTTTCCTCTGACATTCAGCTGGACCTCTGTGGTGCCTAATTGATGCGATGGCGGTCACTCCGGTGTTTGGTCTGATGGAACCGAGCACCACCAGTAAAACATGGGACGGTTGTCAACTTTGGCTCCCTGTGCAACTATATTACAGTTTATAATCTATAGTTACACATTATGATACAAACTTTCATGTTGTTTAAAAGAAATACCTTATGTGTCAATTCTCTGTGTCTGAAGTTATGCTGCAGATATAGCAACAATACAGCAACAACAACTTACAACATGACCTTGCGGTTCTCGCTTTCTGTGAAATTGAATGTGGTAAACAAATATATTTTTTATATTTTCATTAAGATTCAATGTGTTTTTCAATTTGAATCCTGACAAACATCATCATGCAGTGTTTTATTCAAAACAATTAGAAAAACATCCCTCATCTATTTATGTGTGTTCTTAAAAAAAAAGATTTCTTGTCTGCATAATTAACTCAGGAAAATCAAAAATAGCTGATCAGATGTTTTTTCCCTGAAGCAACATCAATCCAAAGGTTTATTTTTTTTTTTCACAAAAGGCACTCCACCTTGACTTACCTGCATGAATAATGAAGGGAGCTAAGAAGAAAGGAGAAAACTAGTGTAATTAGTGACTCCTTAAATCACTGACTGTTGAGAATGTTAAGGCAGATGGAGTAAATATATTTTCATTAAGTTATTATGTTTTGCTTATATTCAACAACTTATTCTATTTCTGGCATCTCGGATGCATCTATGCTAATCTGATCTATAAACCATCTGGATGTAAAAAGTAATCTGCCAAAGTTAAACTTACCCGTTTATTTATTGTGACAATGATCCATTAATAATAATTATGATAAATAGACAGCGAGGCTCTTGTCTTTTCTTTTTGGCATTTTCATTGAGAAACAACACGTTTCAAGCCAAAAAACTAAAGTCCTTTTTCAAAAAAGTTCTAACGCTCACACGTGGGGCCCACTGTGAGTTAAAGTGACTTTCGGGCACTAAGGAAGCTATTTGAAGCTACTTCCCTACATAGAGGACATTTTAACTAAATGACAGTGGGAGGAGGACGTGTCTTTCAAAACCGGCTAATGACACAGGATCCTTTGAGGAATGATAAAAGAGAGGAGTGGGAAGGAAGCCGTCCGGCACCTTGGCTCGGTGTTAAATGTAGAACTAGGAAAAAGGTCCAGCCATGGCCTGCTTTGAAACGCTGCTCCTCCGGGGAGCGGCAAGAGCTGCGAACAACAGGCGCATGCCTTCCGCCCCGGTCACACAGCTGCTTCAAACACGCACATCAAAAAGCGAAGGAGCTATAGCAGGCGTCCTCAAAAAACACCGACAGAGCTGGGTGGAAAAAGTCGGGTGGGTCCCTTAGGTGAGAGTTGCATATCTCCTCTCATCTCCTCCTGCAGCTGAGGAGATGAAAGGGAGCGAGGAGTTCAACCTAGTGAGACGCTGTTAATCTGCCCGGACTGGGGAGCGTTTTTTACGCCTATAATGAAACTTTCTGAGGAGGGATAAAAAGATAGAAATCGTTGACTCGAAACTGCGGACGAATCGTTTCGGATTGGACGTGAACTGCAAGAATGCCGCAGCGATCGACCGGGGGGGTAGACTCACCCGGGCCTGGGCCGGCCAAAGTAGTCTGCAGGCCGAGTGACCGCTATTGAAAATGACTCCAGGAAAGAAACAGAAAGAGAGAGAGAGAGGGAGTGGGGACATCACAGAAGTGTCAAAAAAAAGCAAACAAAGTTGAGAGATGATGTCTTATTGTAAGTCTTTGGCAAAGGCAAACAGTTTGGGAGTGTGGCAGGTCCGGTGCCCCCCTGTCACATCGGAACACAGTGTCATGCACGTGTGCGCGC